TTATTAAAGTTAATTTCAATGAGGTGATCAAGATCAATATTAGAAATAAGTAAAGCCTCTGTTTTTGCAGGATTGAATTTGACAAGCCACTTATCTGCCCACAATTGTATATTTACTAGATCATTATTAATTTTTTGTTCAATTACTTGTGGTGATTTATCCGAATACAAAAGAGAGGTGTCATCAGCAAATAGTTTTGATAGACTTTCTATATTATCTGTTATGTCATTAATATAAAGTATAAACAGCAATGGGCCAAGAACCGAACCCTGAGGTACTCCTGCATTTGTTCTCTTAGCAGAAGATCTACTATTTCCAATAAAAACTTGTTGAGATCTAATAGTAACATAATCAATTAACCAGCCCAATAACTTTCCCGAAATTCCATAGCTAGCTAGTTTCACTTCCAGTCCCCTATGCCACACTCGATCAAACGCCTTAGAAATATCACAAAAAATTAGACAAGTTGGCTGGTTTTTTTCTAGATTGTCGCACATAGTATGATATATTTCTATAAGCTGGTGTACAGTAGAGTGACCTGGTTGAAAACCTGACTGATATTTATATATGAGAGAATTATCTAAAAGGTAGTTATGTAAATATTTAGCGACTAATCTTTCGAAAACTTTACCAATAGTACTTAGTAGTGCAATAGGTCTATAATTTGAAGGGTCTTGTTTATCGCCCTTTTTAAAAAACGGCATAACTAGAGCATGTTTCCATTGTTTGGGAAAAGATCCAGTTTCCAAAGATGAGCGAAAGATCAATGAAAGAGGATAAGCAACTGAATTAGAGGTATTCTTTAGCATGGTATGACTAATAGTATCCTTTCCTACAGCTTTACCGATTTTTAATGTCTTAAGAATGTCGATAATGTCATTAATATTAAACGGTATGTCTGAAATGGTCGAGTCTGTTCTAGGTTCTATAACAGGTACGTCAATGTTAGTATCGTCTAGAGTAGATATTGAAACAAAGTAATCGTTTAGTATATTAGTCTTTATGTCGTCATCCATTTCTATATTTCCAGTCGCACTCCTTAACGGCGGTATACTATTAGATGTGTCGGATGATTTTATTAACCTGCGGACTAGTTTCCAAAAGTT